GATTTGGTAATAGCTGCTCATTCAGAGGAGGATTTGGAGATGCTGCTGCTGAGACTGGAGCGTGCCACTAAGAGATGGGGCCTTACCATCAGCCCCACCAAAACTAAGCACCTGCCTGGGCATTTTGTACCATCGGACACTCCACCCCCACAACTCCCAATCGGTGATGGGGCAGTTGTGGAGAGAGTGGAGAGTTTCCCATACCTGGGCAGTGTGCTTATGACTGGCTCCAGTTTAACAGCAGATGTTTCACTCAGAATCAGTCGAGCGGCAATATCTTTTCATCGGTTGCGTAACGCTGTGTGGAAGCTACCTGGTCTGTCGCTCCGCACTAAGCTTCAGGTCTTCTCGGCCATGGTCATTCCCTCCCTTCTCTACGCTTGCGAAACGTGGACCCCCCTAATGGAACATCTTTGCCGGTTAGAAACATTTAGGCTAGCCTGCCTACGATCCATCCTGGGTTTAACCCGCAAGCTGGATTGTGTGAGGAGCTCACAAATCCTTGAAAGATCTGGACAAAGTCCCATCGGTGAGCTCCTCCGGCAGGCAAGGTTGCGTTGGCTGGGTCATGTAGCCCGCATGCCCAGCCACCGCATGCCGAAACAGCTTTTGTTCGGCCGGATCGAGGGAGCTAAATGGGCGCGGCACGGGCTAGAGAAGAGATGGAGTGGTGTGGTACAGGAGGACGTGAAGCTGAGTGGACTTGCCGATGACCGGTACCAGCGGTGTCAAGATCGGCCTCAGTGGAGGAGGCTCGTGAAGGACGCTGCTACTGGGCAGTTGGAGGCAGTCGCCCTCCAACAACAACGGAGGGCGGAGGAGCGACGCTCACAACAACGAGCGGAGCGCCGGGTGGCTAAAGCACAGCAAGTTGGCACAGTAGGGGGCACAGGTGGTGCATCAGCCAGTCATCTCAGTCATCTCAGTCAGTCGACCCGTGGCACCTGGGTCTGCCCCGTGACCTCCTGCCCGCGGGCGTTCGACACTTCACGTGTCCTCAAGGTGCACATGGCCTGGCACAAGCGTCGTGGTGATGTCACCGCCACTTAGTGGCGAATGGCGGTTGTTGTTGTTGTGTGTGGGGAGCGGTAGTGTAGTGGTTAGCGCTACGCTGCGCTACGAACCCGGCGACCTGGGTTCGATTCCCGTTCACGGTCATCACCACCAGTGACGATTATCTGAACCGGTCCTGGGCTACCCCTAGGTCGACTCAGCCTCAAATGAGTACCTGGTGCGGTGTGTGGTAAACATCGCCACTAGGGGAGACAAAGGCGGCCGGGCGTTGTACTGGCCACCCACCCCCTCTGTGTGTGCCACAGTGCCGGTAGCCTTCATAGTCGCTGCTGCTACTCGCTAACAGCACTTGCCTCTACAGTCTGTGACAGGCTACACGGGGGATCTTTGTCTTTTGTGGGGGTGAGTGACTGGGTGAGTGACTGGGTGAGTGACTGTGTGGGTGAGTGACTGGGTGAGTAACTGTGTGGGTGACTGTGTGGGTGAGTGTCTGGGTGAGTGACCGGGTGAGTGACTGTCTGGGTGAGTGACTGGGTGAATGAGTGACTGGGTGAGTGACTGTCTGGGTGAGTGACTGGGTGAGTTACTGGGTGAGTGACTGTCTGGGTGAGTGACTGGGTGAGTGACTGTGTGGGTGAGTGACTGGGTGAGTGACCGTGCTGGTGAGTGACTGGGTGAGTGACTGGGTGAGTGACTGTGTGGGTGAGTGACTGTGTGGGTGAGTGACTGTGTGGGTGAGTGACTGGGTGAGTGAGTAACTGGGTGAATGAGTAACTGGGTGAGTGAGTGACTGGGTGAGTGACTGTGTGGGTGAGTGACTGGGTGAGTGACCGTGCTGGTGAATGACTGGGTGAGTGACTGGGTGAGTGACCGTGCGGGTGAGTGACTGGGTGAGTGACTGGGTGAGTGACTGTGTGGGTGAGTGACTGGGTGAGTGACTGTGTGGGTGAGTGACTGTGTGAATGAGTGACTGTGTGAGTGACTGTGTGAGTGACTGGGTGAGTGACTGTCTGAGTGAGTGACTGGGTGAGTGACCGTGTGGGTGAGTGACTGGGTGAGTGAGTGACTAGATGAGTGACTATGTGGGTGACTGTGTGAGTGACTGGGTGAGTGACTGTCTGAGTGAGTGACTGTGTGAGTGACTGGGTGAGTGACTGTCTGAGTGAGTGACTGGGTGAGTGACCGTGTGGGTGACTGTGTGAGTGACTGGGTGAGTGACCGTGTGGGTGAGTGACTGTGTGAGTGACTAGGTGAGTGACTGGGTGAGTGACTGTCTGAGTGAGTGACTGGGTGAGTGACTATGTGGGTCACTGTGTGAGTGACTGGGTGAGTGACTGTCTGAGTGAGTGACTGGGTGAGTGACTATGTGGGTGACTGGTTGAGTGACTGGGTGAGTGACTGTCTGAGTGAGTGACTGGGTGAGTGACCGTGTGGGTGACTGTGTGAGTGACTGGGTGAGTGACCGTGTGGGTGAGTAACTGTGTGAGTGACTAGGTGAGTGACTGGGTGAGTGACTGTCTGAGTGAGTGACTGGGTGAGTGACCGTGTGGGTGAGTGACTGGTTGAGTGACTGGGTGAGTGACTGTTTGAGTGAGTGACTGGGTGAGTGACCGTGTGGGTGAGTGACTGGGTGAGTGAGTGACTAGATGAGTGATTATGTGGGTGACTGTGTGAGTGACTGTGTGAGTGACTGTCTGAGTGAGTGACTGGGTGAGTGACCGTGTGGGTGACTGAGTGAGTGACTGGGTGAGTGACTGTCTGAGTGAGTGACTGGGTGAGTGACTATGTGGGTCACTGTGTGAGTGACTGGGTGAGTGACTGTCTGAGTGAGTGACTGGGTGAGTGACCGTGTGGGTGACTGTGTGAGTGACTGGGTGAGTGACTGTCTGAGTGAGTGACTGGGTGAGTGACTATGTGGGTGACTGGTTGAGTGACTGGGTGAGTGACTGTCTGAGTGAGTGACTGGGTGAGTGACCGTGTGGGTGACTGTGTGAGTGACTGGGTGAGTGACCGTGTGGGTGAGTAACTGTGTGAGTGACTAGGTGAGTGACTGGGTGAGTGACTGTCTGAGTGAGTGACTGGGTGAGTGACCGTGTGGGTGAGTGACTGGTTGAGTGACTGGGTGAGTGACTGTTTGAGTGAGTGACTGGGTGAGTGACCGTGTGGGTGAGTGACTGGGTGAGTGAGTGACTAGATGAGTGATTATGTGGGTGACTGTGTGAGTGACTGTGTGAGTGACTGTCTGAGTGAGTGACTGGGTGAGTGACCGTGTGGGTGACTGAGTGAGTGACTGGGTGAGTGACTGTCTGAGTGAGTGACTGGGTGAGTTACCGTGTGGGTGACTGGTTGAGTGACTGGGTGAGTGACTGTCTGAGTGAGTGACTGGGTGAGTGACCGTGTGGGTGAGTGACTGTGTGAGTGAGTGACTGGGTGAGTGATTGGGTGAGTGACTGTGTGGGTGAGTGACTGTGTGGGTGAGTGACTGGGTGAGTGACTGTGTGGGTGAGTGACTGTGTGGGTGAGTGACTGGGTGAGTGAGTAACTGGGTGAGTGAGTAACTGGGTGAGTGAGTGACTGGTTGAGTGACTGTGTGGGTGAGTCACTGGGTGAGCGGCTGTGTGGGTGAGTGACTGGGTGAGTGACCGTGTGGGTGAATGACTGGGTGAGTGAGTGACTAGATGAGTGACTATGTGGGTGACTGTGTGAGTTACTGGGTGAGTGACTGTCTGAGTGAGTGACTGGGTGAGTGACCGTGTGGGTGACTGTGTGAGGGACTAGGTGAGTGACTGGGTGAGTGACCGTGTGGGTGACTGGTTGAGTGACTGTGTGAGTGACTGTGTGAGTGACTGTCTGAGTGAGTGACTGGGTGAGTGACCGTGTGGGTGACTGTGTGAGTGACTGGGTGAGTGACTGTCTGAGTGAGTGACTGGGTGAGTGACCGTGTGGGTGACTGTGTGAGTGACTGTGTGAGTGACTGTGTGAGTGACTGTCTGAGTGAGTGACTGGGTGAGTGACCGTGTGGGTGACTGTGTGAGTGACTGGGTGAGTGACCGTGTGGGTGAGTGACTGTGTGAGTGACTGGGTGAGTGACTGTGTGAGTGACTGGGTGAGTGACTGTGTGAGTGTGACTGGGTGAGTGACTGGGTGAGTGACTGTGTGAGTGACTGGGTGAGTGACTGTGTGAGTGAGTGACTGGGTGAGTAACCGTGTGGGTGACTGTGTGAGTGACTGGGTGAGTGACCGTGTGGGTGAGTGACTGTGTGAGTGACTGGGTGAGTGACTGTGTGAGTGAGTGACTGGGTGAGTAACCGTGTGGGTGACTGTGTGAGTGACTGGGTGAGTGACCGTGTGGGTGAGTGATTGTGTGAGTGACTGGGTGAGTAACTGTCTGAGTGAGTGACTGGGTGAGTGACTGTGTGGGTGAGTGACTGTGTGAGTGACTGGGTGAGTGACTGTCTGAGTGATTGACTGGGTGAGTGACTGTGTGGGTGAGTGACTGTGTGAGTGACTGGGTGAGTGACTGTGTGAGTGACTGGGTGAGTGACTGTGTGAGTGACTGTCTGAGTGAGTGACTGGGTGAGTGACTGTCTGAGTGACTGTGTGAGTGACTGGGTAAGTGACTGTGTGAGTGAGTGACTGGGTGAGTGATTGGGTGAGTATCACATTCCGTAACAGCGAGCACGTGTCACTCAGACAGTAGTCGCTCCTCCACCCCTCCCCCGCTCATTCCGAAGGCACGATTTTCACTCTCCGCCCTCCCGCATTGCCGTTCACAACGAGCGACAAAAGCCCTTGCGCGTGGGGTGGTCAACGACCACCCGTCATCTCTTCAGTCTCATCCCCCCCCTCCCAACACACCAAAACCCGAAGTTTAAATTTTCAACCCCTCGACCGCCGGGGTTGGTTTGTGGGCCACCCCTTTTGAGCGTAGCCCGTGGCAAAAAAAAAAATTCTGCTCATACAGACGTTGCGGTACACCCCCAAGCCTCCCCCACCCCGCCCAAACCGTCACTACCCACAAATCCCTCGCTGCGCTCTTCCCCCCCCCTTCCCCCCCACCCCGTTCTCCCTCCCTTTCCCGCGCAGGCAAGATGGTGAGTGCCGGCGGCCTCTCGTCGCTCCTCGCACGCATCCGCCGACATCCGCTTCGCCTCGCGTCGGATGGACGCCCAACGGCGTCTCGGTCGACGCGCGAGATTCCCCCGCGTCGAGCGGCGTCGACGGCGGCGGCGGTCGGGCCGAGGGTTTCACCCGCGGCGTCTTTAACGCGAGCGTCCCCTCGCGATGTGTCCGTGCGCAGGGTATCGACATTCGCCATAACAAGGACCGTAAGGTTCGGCGCACGGAGCCGCGGAGCGAGGACATCTACCTGCGCCTGCTCGTTAAGGTGCGTGGGACGTGCGAGATAATGATGTGTGTGTGTTTTTTTTAATGTTTCCTGTAATTTTTAAATTGCAACGAAAATCGCCTCAGCAAAATTTGGGGGGGGGGCGATTAGGCGAAGCCTTAGGCGCTAGGCCGCGGCCTATGCAATTTGAATGGGGATTTTTTTTTTAAATGTTATTTCGCATTCCCCCTCGAGGTGAATAAAGTTGTAACTTGCGCGCTTGCTAGTCAAGGGACGTGCGACGTTGACTTTTTTTTGCAGTAAAAATGTATTTAAAAAAAAATTCCCTCGGTCGAATAAGAGGGGGGGGTTGGTGATTAGGCAAAGCCTTAGGCGCTAGGCCGCTGCCTGTGTAATTGAATGTGGAATTTTATTTATTTTACATTTCCCCACTGGAATAATTTTAATCTTTGACTTGCGCTCGCTCGTCGAGGTACGTGCGACGTAACTTTGTATTTGATTTTTTTTACAATGTTTATTACAAAACGTATTTAATTTATTTTATATATCTCTCCCACCCCCCACCCACCCCGGCTCTAAAGGCGAATTAAGTCGGTAACTTAAAACGACGAATAATAATGGGGCATTCGTGACGGCTAAACGCCGTGACCTTTCACGTGAAAAGTTAGGGTTGTTTTCTTTTAAAATAAATTAACGAAACATCACTTTGTAAAACAATGTTGTTCCACGTGGGGCTCATCCAGCGGGCGTTCTGCGCCCACTGTACGTAGAGTTCGCGGAAATTATTTTAGCATCGTACGCAAACTATTCGCAACTACGACGAGCATCAGTTCTACAGACAATGTGGTTTAAATGTAGCGTGTAGTGTATAGTTTAGTGTGTATAGCAGTGTATAGTGTGATGTATAGTAGTGTATAGTGTGGTGTGTAGTATTGTAGTGTATAGTCGAGTGTGTATAGCAGTGTATAGTGTAATGTATAGTAGTGTATAGCGTGGTGTAAAGTATTGTAGTGTATAGTCTAGTATATCGTAGTGTATAGTCTAGTGTATAGTGTAATGTATAGTATTGTAGTGTATAGTCTAGTATATCGTAGTGTGTAGTGTATGGTCTAGTGTATAGCAGTGTATAGTGTAATGTATAGTGTGGTGTATAGTCTAGTATATCGTAGTGTATAGTGTAATGTATAGTGTATAGTATTGTAGTGTATAGCAGTGTAGTGTAATGTATAGTAGTGTATAGTGTGGTGTATAGTATTGTAGTGTATAGTCTTAGTATATCGTAGTGTATAGTATTGTGGTGTATAGCAGTGTATAGTGTAATGTATAGTGTGGTGTATAGTCTAGTATATCGTAGTGTATAGTGTAATGTAGTGTATAGTATTGTAGTGTATAGCAGTGTAGTGTATAGTGTGGTGTATAGTATTGTGTATGGTCTAGTATATCGTAGTGTGTAGTGTATGGTCTAGTGTATAGCAGTGTATAGTGTAATGTATAGTAGTGTATAGCGTGGTTTATAGTCTCGTATATCGTAGTGTATAGTCTAGTGTATAGTGTAATGTATAGTAGTGTATTGTAGTGTATAGTCTAGTATATCGTGTGGTCTAGTGTATAGCAGTGTATAGTGTAATATATAGTGTGGTGTATAGTCTAGTATATCGTAGTGTATAGTGTAATGTATAGTGTAGTGTATAATATTGTAGTGTATAGCAGTGTAGTGTAATGTATAGTAGTGTATAGTGTGGTATATCGTAGTGTATAGTGTACTGTATAGTATTGTAGTGTATAGTAGTGTGGTGTGTAGTATATTGTAGTGTATATAGAAGTGTAGTAGTATCATAGTGTGTCGTATAGTAGTGTATATCGTAGTGTAGTGTATATCGTAGTGTGTAGTGTATATCGTAGTGTATAGTGTAGTGTATATCGTAGTGTATAGTGTAGTGTATATCGTGGTGTATAGTGTAGTGTGCTGTATTGTAGTCCGTACGCAGCATAATAATAGGGTTAATCGTAGGTGCCCAGGGGGGAAAGAGAGCAAACTACTCGCAACTACGACGAGGAGCAAGCAGTTCTATAGACGGTGAGTTTAAAATGTAGTGTATAGTGTAGTGGATAGTAGTTGTACAGTAGTGTGGTGTATAGTGTACTGTATGGTAGTATGTACGCAGAACCGTGCTAATCGTAGGTGCTGGTGAAGGACAAACTAGAAAGCTCTTTCATTAACGAGTCACTCACCTAGTCGGGCTCGGGGTGAGCATCTACATCTTGAGACCTCCCTTTGCCAGTACCAAAATATAATAATAATAAATGGGGTTTTCCCCTCTTTTCTGGCCACAAAACTTAAATCTTTTCTTTTTTTATACAAGGAATCACGTCACCGCATTGACCACAATACTTGTGGCATGATACTCTTTGGTTCTATTGGGTAAAGTCACCACGTAAGGTAAAAAAAATAACAAAAATCACGAGTCACGTTGAAGGGAAACAACAAAATAATAAACTGTGTATAAAACAATAAAAAAAATTCTCACGACGTTTCGACCATAACTCAAACGGCCGTCTTCAGGTGTGTTGGTTCGCATAAATTAATTTTTAAACGGCGCATTTATTTATTTATAAAAATAAACTTATGCAAACCAACACACCTGAAGACGACCGTTTGAGTTATGGTCGAAACGTCGTGAGAATTTTATTGTTTTATATGTATGTTATTATTTTGTTGTTTCCCTTCAATGTGACTTTACCGAAAAAACTAAGAATATGAATTACTGCAGTCACGAAAGCTTTAAATCAAAATTTAAAATAAAAATCACGACGTCTCGGCCACAACACAAGCGGCGGCCTTCATCGGGTGAAGGGACGAGACTGTCTGGTAGGACAGCGCTGGAGTGAGAAAAAGCCACAAGCTCAGATCGCGACCTTTAAGCTGTGTGATCGTGGCATCTTTTGAGTAAGCCCAGCGTCTCGATGAGCTGTGACTTCTCGTCCCGTTGTCTGTTAAAAGCTCTTAACAGATAGGCGAAAGCCCTCCCCATAGAGGTTATCAATTCTAGATTCAAAGCTTTCGTGACTGCTAGGATCCATACTCTTTGGTTCTATTGGGTAAAGTCACCACGTAAGGTAAAAAAAAAAATAACAAAAATCTCACGACGTTTCGGCCACAACACAAGCGGCCTTCATCAGGTGAAGGGACGAGAACTGTCTGGAGGACAGCGCTGGAGTGAAAAAAAGCCACAAGCTCAGATCGCGACCTCTAAGCTTGTGGCTTTGCCCTTGAAAGAAAAAGCTGTCTCTGGTGTGGACCAATCAGTTTCAAGGACAATGCACAGTTTGTTGCCAGAAAAAAGGGGAAAAACGTATCATTATTATTATTAGAAAGCTGTTATTCTAAAGAAATTAGTTTGGTAATCTATTCCCGTAGTTTAACAGTTTATGGCGGTGGGGTAAAATGTGGGTGACTTCCACATTGTCCTCTTGAGCTCCATCTACTGAGGCTCTCGTAGGGTTCAGTGTTACTTACTGAGGCTCACAGCCAGACTGAGGCTCCCACAGGGGTCAGTGTTAATCACTGAGACTCACAGAGCCAGACTGAGGCTCCCCATAGGGTTCAGTGTTAATCACTGGGACTCACAGAGCCAGACTAAGGCTCCCACAGGGTTCAGTGTTAATCATTGAGGCTCACACAGCCAGACTGAGGCTCACAAAGGGTTCAGTGTTAATCACCGAGGCTCACAGCCAGACTGAGACTCCCACAGGGTTCAGTGTTAATCACTGAGGCTCACAGAGCCAGACTGAGGCTCCCACAGGGTTCAGTGTTAATCACCGAGACTCACAGAGCCAGACTGAGGCTCCCACAGGGTTCAGTGTTAATCACCGAGGCTCGCAGAGCCAGACTAAGGCGCCGATGATGATCCCTATCTCACCTGAGCTCTTGGCTGAGAATGGAAAAGTTGAATTCCTCGTTACTGAGGCGCCTGGCCACGTAGAAGGTTGGAGCCGAGGGTCGCCGGCCTTTAACGAACTCGTCAATTGGCCCATCACAAATGAGTGGCTAAGATCATTTAAATGTTGCATGCGGATGGTGTGTTCACGTGCGTGGCTCTGCCGTGCCTACCTGTCAACGCCTTATCAGTGCCCTACCTTATTGCAGACCAAATCAAGACCCCCCTCAAATTGGTCACCCCGTGCCCATTGTAAATCTCATCGTTCGTCCTACAAAGTCCCACCGTCGCAAGGGAGAAACTCGAAACAAATAGTCGCGGAAAAAAACGTTGCCCTCACTGAAACGGCTGAACGCTATATGGGCTTATATGGACCCGAGCTCAATTTCCCCCGTACAGGAATACGGTGAAAGCGTACGGGCTCACAGGTAATGTGCGTGTGTGGCTGTGGGGAGCGGTGGTGCAGCGGTTAGCGCTACGCTGCGCTATGAACCTGGCGACCCGGGTTCGATTCCCGCTCGCGGCCAACGCCACCAGTGACGATTCTCTGAACCGGTCCCGGGCCTCTCCCCTAGGTCGACTCGGCCTCAAGTGAGTACCTGGTGTAGCGGTGTGTAGTAAACATCGCCACTGGGGAGACAAAGGCGGTCGGGCGTGGTGCTGGCCACCCACCCCCCTCGTGCACCGTTACTGGCCTTCATAGGTGCTGCTCGCTAACAGCACTTGCCCCTACAGTCTGTTAAGGCTATATGGGGGATCTTTGTGTGTGTAGTGTGTGTATGTACGTGTCTATGCGTATGTGCGTGTATGTAAGTGTGTGTATGTACCGTTCCGGCCTTCATAGGTGCTGCTCGCTAACAGCACCTGCCCCTACAGTCTGTTAAAGAGGCTATAGGGGGGTGGGTGTAGTCGTTGTCTTTGTAAGCAAGTGTTGTAATGGTAAGTGTGTTGGTTGTGTGCGCTGCTGGACATCATCGGTTGCCTCCTGGTTAAATTAATACACCTTGATACCGTGTCGGTTGTTACATTAGCGTGTCGGCTGTAGCCTCCCCGCTGCTTGGCCTCTGCGTGCGAGACGTCGTGTTTACCGATTGTGTTGTTGCTGCTACGTGTGATGTTGTGATGTTTGATGTTATTGTGTTGTATTGTTATGCTGTGTTGTTATGGTGTTTTGTTGATGTGGTGTTTGGTGACGTGGTGGTGGTGGTGTTTGTATTGTTGTGATGATATTGTGTTTGATGTTATGTTATTGTGTTGTATTGTTATGCTGTGTTGTTATGGTGTTTTGTTGATGTGGTGTTTGGTGACGTGGTGGAGGTTGTGGTGTTTGTGTTGTGATATTGTGTTTGATGTTATTGTGTTGTATTGTTATGCTGTGTTGTTATGGTGTTTTGTTGATGTGGTGTTTGGTGACGTGGTGGTGGTGTTTGTGTTGTTGTGATGATATTGTGTTTGATGTTATTGTGTTGTATTGTTATGCTGTGTTGTTATGGTGTTTTGTTGATGTGGTGTTTGGTGACGTGGTGGTGGTGTTTGTGTTGTTGTGATGATATTGTGTTTGATGTTATTGTGTTGTATTGTTATGCTGTGTTGTTATGGTGTTTTGTTGATGTGGTGTTTGGTGACGTGGTGGTGGTGGTGTTTGTGTTGTTGTGATGATATTGTGTTTGATGTTATGTTATTGTGTTGTATTGTTATGCTGTGTTATGGTGTTTTGTTGATGTGGTGTTTGGTGACGTGGTGGGGGTGTTTGTGTTGTGATGATATTGTGTTTGATGTTATTGTGTTGTATTGTTATGCTGTGTTGTTATGGTGTTTTGTTGATGTGGTGTTTGGTGACGTGGTGGTGGTGTTTGTGTTGTTGTGATGATATTGCGTTTGATGATATGTCATTGTGTCGTATTATTGTGGTATTTTGGCGCTTGATGATGCGGTGATGCGTTGTGTTTGATGATGTCGTGGTGTTGGTGGTGTTGGTGGTGTTGGTGGTGTTGGTGGTGGTGTTGGTGGTGGTGTTGGTGGTGGTGTTGGTGGTGGTGTTGGTGGTGGTGTTGGTGGTGGTGTTGGTGGTGTTATGGCGTCGACGTGTTGTGACGATGTTGTGGCGTTTGACGTTGCATCGCTGAGCGACGTGTCGCTTGATGTCGCCATTTTGTTCTCAGCTCTACCGCTTCCTTGCTCGCCGCACGAGCTCCCCCTTCAACAAAGTGGTGCTCAAGAGGCTGTTCATGTCTCGTACCAACCGCCCCCCTATCTCCATCGCGCGCCTGGTACGTCGCTGCTACACCACCACCACCGCTGACGTAGCTACCACCATCACCTTCACGTCTCGTACGTGACGTACGTCACTACCTACATCACCACCACCGCTAACGTAGCTACCACCATCGCCTCCGTCACGTCTCGTACGTGACGTAAATCACTACCTACATCACCGCCATCGCTAACGCAGCTACCGCCATCACCTACGTCACGTACGAGACGTGACGTAAGTCACGTCTCGTACGTGACGTACGTCACTGCCTACATCGCTGCTACATCACCACCACTAACGTAGCCACCACCGTCACCTACGCCATGTCTCGTACGTCACTGCCTACATCGCTACTACATCACCACCACCGCTGACGTAGCTACCACCATCGCCTAGTAGTGACGGTAGTTAACGGTGGTAGTGACGATAGTTAACGGTAGTAGTGACGATAGTTTTAATGGTAGTAGTGATGGTGGTAGTGACGGTAGTTAACGGTAGTAGTGACGGTAGTTAACGGTAGTAGTGATGGTAGTTACCGGTAGTAGTGACGGTAGTTAACGGTAGTAGTGACGGTAGTTACCGGTAGTAGTGGCGATAGTTACCGGTAGTAGTGGCGGTAGTTACCGGTAGTAGTGACGGTAGTTACCAGTAGTAGTGACGGTAGTTAACGGTAGTAGTGACGGTAGTTAACGGTAGTAGTGACGGTAGTTACCGGTAGTAGTGACGGTAGTTACCGGTAGTAGTGACGGTAGTTACCGGTAGTAGTGATGGTAGTTGCCGGTAGTAGTGACGGTAGTTACCGGTAGTAGTGACGGTAGTTACCGGTAGTAGTGACGGTAGTTACCGGTAGTAGTGACGGTAGTTACCGGTAGTAGTGACGGTAGTTACCGGTAGTAGTGACGGTAGTTACCGGTAGTAGTGACGGTAGTTGCCGGTAGTAGTGACGGTAGTTACCGGTAGTAGTGACGGTAGTTACCGGTAGTAGTGACGGTAGTTACCGGTAGTAGTGGCGGTAGTTAACGGTAGTAGTGATGGTAGTTATAACGGTAGTAGTGACGGTAGTTACCGGTAGTAGTGACGGTAGTTACCGGTAGTAGTGGTGGTAGTTACCGGTAGTAGTGACGGTAGTTACCGGTAGTAGTGACGGTAGTTACCGGTAGTAGTGACGGTAGTTACCGGTAGTAGTGACGGTAGTTGCCGGTAGTAGTGACGGTAGTTAACGGTAGTAGTGGCGGTAGTTACCGGTAGTAGTGACGGTAGTTACCGGTAGTAGTGACGGTAGTTACCGGTAGTAGTGACGGTAGTTACCGGTAGTAGTGACGGTAGTTACCGGTAGTAGTGGCGGTAGTTACCGGTAGTAGTGGCGGTAGTTGCCGGTAGTAGTGGCGGTAGTTACCGGTAGTAGTGACGGTAGTTACCGGTAGTAGTGACGGTAGTTACCGGTAGTAGTGACGGTAGTTACCGGTAGTAGTGACGGTAGTTACCGGTAGTAGTGACGGTAGTTACCGGTAGTAGTGACGGTAGTTACCGGTAGTAGTGACGGTAGTTACCGGTAGTAGTGACGATAGTTAACGGTAGTAGTGACGGTAGTTACCGGTAGTAGTGACGG